GACAGAATTGCACATCCAAATGTAGACCAGAGTTAGGTCCTGAGCAGACAAAACACTGTTGCTATGGCTCTTGCCCATCTTGCACCTTGGAGTTGCCCCAGATTTTCCACACAGGTGGTCCATGTGGAGTGATCTTCCCAAGAACACCAAACTGCAAACTAGCTTAGCCAAACAATGCATTCGATTGAATTTATTAGTCAGCCCAATCAAGAGTTGGTGAAATCCCAAAACATGTGCAAAAATTCCTCTTTTATCTTCTTCTGTGAAGGGTCTCAGATTGTTATGTCAAGAGAGTCTTCTTTCAGGAAGCCAGCATTTGAGACTCAGAGAGGCAGTAAATCCTTGTGTGAGCCCTATGTCTGCCTCTGCCGCATGCAGTGAATTACTTCACATTTCTGAAATCCAGTCTCTCACACTAAACTGGAATAAAGGGTGCAGTGTTGTCGGATGCTTGCAAACTCTAAGTACTGTTATATAGCTATAAAGTGGGACATAATTATAACACAAATGCTAGAACTTGGGATGTTTTTCTTCCATATAACCCTATAAAAATTTGAAAGCAGTTGTGGTTTGATAAATTACAGGATAATGGACTCTTAAATCATAACATTTGCAAAGCCTTTTTCTGTTAAATATAGTAGGTGCTTAGTGAATGTCTGTATGGAAGCTGGATGGAGGTGTGTGAACAGCACATGGAGGCAAAGAAGAAAATTGCCCATTGTTTTAACTTTTCCTTTTAAGTTTTGTTTTTAAGCATGTTCCTTGATATGAATTATGCCTGATTTTGAGGAGAGAGGGAGTTAGTAAATGGGAGACTCTGAACTGGTTCCTAAAATCAGTAAGCTTGGTTTCCTGATTTTTGTTTTTCAGTCATAAAAAAAAAAAAGAAAAAGAAAATCAGCTGAGCATTCTGCAAGGCTCAGAGGACACACACACTTGAAAAGGTGACTGTGTTTTGGTCGGTGCTTGTTTCTTCAGCTGTTAATTCTCCTTGTAAGCAAGCTTTCTGAGGAATTCAGAATTAACTGACACTTGTATGTTATATGAAAGCTCCCAACATTGCTGAAGGCTGTGCTTTTCAGAATCTCAGCTCAGGAATCATTTCCGGATGTATGTGTGCAACTTGTATGTTTCTCTACATATTATTAGATGTGTTTAGTCAGAAACAAAAAAGTCTGCCCCACTTTCACTACCTCTTATTATTCTCTGTACTTCTTGTCTGAGCACAGACTCTTCAAGCTCTGTGTGGCCTCAGGTAAAGGAAAATGGCACCATTCAGGTTCATGTGGTCTCTGGGAGCACATTGCCTCTGTGCTGCTGTTGAGTTCAATATGGCACCCAGCAGTACAAAGATCCTTCCCCAAGGGAAAACTGCGAAGGGCGGCTTCTTGCTGGTTCAGCCAAGTGTGGATGATATCTGTGTCTCAGGACTAGATGGTAAGGGTCCTAAAAGGAACAGTTTGCTCCTATGTTTCCAGAAGGCATATTAGAAGAAGCACTGAGTATACTGTGTGCTAAGAACAGCTGAACAAGAACCATCATTTGGTTCCATTCTCTCACTTTGGAAATAGGGGGACAAATTCAAATTTGTAGCAAAATTAAGAGTTACTAAAACTTGGATTTTTCAAATTGTTGACTAGGATATGCAGTATGCTCTATAATACACAACACTTCCAAGATCATTTACCTTATATAAGACAACTAAATGAGACCATAAAATGAGAAAACAATGATAAATCATGGGCTTCAGATCCCTAGAGAACAATGTCAAATTTTGGCACTGTTTTTTTGTATCCATAAGAACCTAAGGACTAATTACCTGAACACTCTGATTCTTTCTTTCCATATTTAGTAAGGAAAGTGTATTTGTCACTTAAGGATTTTTTGCAAATATGAATAATTTGCAAACACAGGTAACAGGGTATGTAGACAACTGAAGTTGGCTTGAAACAATGGAAGAATACAATTGATTCTTTAGAGGTAGTTCAAGTGAGGGTGATGTCAATGGCGATGGGTGTGATGATGGTGTTGGTGGCAGTGACAAGTCAGCTGCTGATTAGATTTCTGTTTTGTGAATATTGTCTCAGTACAACAACAGCAAAATGATTTTACATTTGTCTCATTTTCTAAATTCTACTATTTTGTCATTTTAACTCCTTAGTTGTTACATTCTAAGCTTAGCTAAATCCATAGTGACTACTAACTAGAAAGGACACAAGGAAAAACTTCCTCATCAGTTTCTTCTTTCCTCATCTTTGAGACTTCTTAGAATGGAATGGCCTTGTAATGTTGGAATTGCCTGGACTTCATGCAAATGGAACTAGGTAGTAAGGTCCATTGGCAGGAATCCTTGAGCTCTTCATTATACTAGGACCTAACAGTTGTCAGTCTCCTTTCTGTTAGAGACCTCACATCAAGACCCCAGTGTTTTGAGATGTGTAGACAGTAAACATTGGCCACCTGGTCTTGGAGAAAAAGCAAAACAACAACACTAAGTCTTTGTGGTGAAGAGCGAACACTTGGGAGTCAGATTATCACCTTGATTTTAGAGCCTTGTACCCTGATGAAGTTTCTTTTCCTTCCTAAAACTCAGTCTTGTCATTTGTAAAACGAGGATAGTAATGATCCCACTCACATTAGTAAGTTGTTTTTACAGAGGTAACAAAACATATCTATAGCAAGGTCATTCAAGAAAGACATTAAAATCCCCTCGTATTCTGAGGTTCTTCCTATTCCAGAGATCTGGTGTCCTAAACGGGGGACTCTGAACTCACACAAGAAAACATCAGCACTCTGTGTTTGAGTAGGAATTTCATACACAGAAATGTTAGCCAGACACTGTACCTGAGAATCTGCCACCAAGTCTTCCAGTCAGGAAAAGAGGTCTGAGTTCCTGTAGCCTGGGTGTGATGGCCACTAGAAGGTATGGGAGCCACAGTGACTTTATTCACAGAGCTGATGGCCACAAAACTGCATCTTCCATGTGTACCCTGGCTTGGATGACAGTATCTTCTTCTCGGAAGTGCTGATCTTGGCTGAGACTATGCATCATATCCTACAGGGCCAGCCTCCATCTTACAGAGCAGAAAAGTAGGCTTGATCTGAAAACAAATAGGCCCAAGACCCAGACAGGCCCAGACACCAGACTTCTGTTACCTAGTTGGTGGGATTGACTTACTGTGATGACCAGTACAGAAGCATTGGAAGAACCGGACTTCCCATGCTACTGGGCATCTGAGCAGCTGAAGGTAGACTTGGGAAAGATGTTAGAGCATGTTACTACTCCCCAGACTCAGGTCCTTGTTTCTGCTTTGTGAAGCAACTGGTGCCATCGATATCTGCAGACTTGTTTCCTGACATGACAGCCTCTACCCTGCCTTTCACTTGGCAAGTCCTGGGAAATCAGAACTTGAGCCTTGTGGTTTCTGAATGTGAACTAATCCTTCTGGGTTGAAATCTTCCACTTAAGGTTCTCTCTACCTCACTAGCCTGTGAGCATAGGAGTGCCAGGTCTTGTCTAATTTATCGTTGCATTTATAAGTATTCATACTCTCAATCTGTGCCCTGAGTGAGCGACTACTGTAGGTATGCTAGTAAGACAGTACTGGATTCTTTATTAGAGAATTTTGATATTTTAAAATTTCCAGTATCTTGTGCTGGGAGAGTCAAGGTACGTGAGTGAGAACATTGAACAGGGAGACTGCAGAGTTCCTAGGTGATCAGGAAAATCCTTTCTGAGAAAGTAACACTGACTGAAGAGTAAGCAAGTGCTGATCTGGGAGAGGGATGGAAGAATAGCAGAATAGTCTTCCAGGAAGAGGAAAAAACTCACACAAGGGAGGTGTGAATGAGTGATCGGACATACTGCAGATTGAGAGCAGGGTGGTACTGAGTTGATGCCTTGAATTCAAGCTGTTCACTCTGCATCCCAGTGTCCTCGCTACCCTGCTCATCTGTCACTTCCTCTTCTTAAAGAAGTCATGCAGATTTGCATGTTTCTGCTCCCACAGCATGTGGCACCAAAAAAAAAAAAAAAAAAAAAGGATTTCCGAAAAACTAGGTCTCAGCGCAACGCTGTGAAGACAACATTTGAAAAAGAGGGTGAGGATATATGGATTTTACAAATGGCTGATAAGTTTCAGGAGTTTGGAAGTGGGACAAAAAAAAAAAAAAAAAAAAAAAGGCAGGGGGGAGGTTCTTGATGGGTATTTGAGTAAATGAAGGTGGAGGAACTCTAACTAGCTCTCTTTGTGTTAGCAACATCACTTGTTCTCCAAGTATCAAGGAATCCAGAGGATCTGTGTGCACACCCTCCACCCCCATTGCTGGGAAGCTCCCTGCTGCATGGCATTCTTAGAATAGGAACTCACCTTTCACACTTGGAGCTTTGCAAGGGAGTAGAAATAAGAACAGAGAGAAGTGAATGTCAAAACGATTCAAACATCACACTGTTCCTTTGCTTTTGCTTTCCTTGACACTGGGATACAATGTGTTAAATGGGATCCCAGCCAGAAGTGCATGCTTGTTGCTAGCACTTTGACCTTGGACATGTCACTTAGCCTTTGCAGATCTGTTTTTCCTTTGGTGTCTATGGCATTAATTATATCTGCTAGACGATGTTAATATCAAGTGATCCATGTAATACACAGTGTAGAGAAGGGTATTTAATGGGCACAGATGTTTCATGGCTGGTGCCTTTATGTAAATAATTATAGTTGGTATTATTCTGACAAGGTTAGATTCCATACACGAACAGAGTCAAGCAAAAACAGAATATTCTTCCTAATTTGCCCTTGGCTAGTAAAGTTTTTTGTTTGTTTGCTTGGTTGATGGGTTTTGTTATTTATAATCTTTGAGATTACACATGGGATTCTTCTTGTTATGTGACCTTATTAAAATGTATTATCTTGCTGATTTTTAGCTTTCTTACCTCTGTGTCTGTCTATCTGTCTGTCTATCTCTCTCTCAAGAAGATTTTGTTTGGTTTTACTTTCTCACAGGAGTAATTGGAGCAGATGTGAGAGGTTATGGTCTCGTCTGTGAGGAACAGCCAGTGACATCACGGCTAGCTGTCATCTGTGGAACATCATCTTGTCACATGGGGGTAAGCGTACCACAAAGGCAAGGCCACCACATAAAGGGGTGGACTCCCAGGGTAAAGTCTTGAACTAATGGCTCCTTTACCTCCTTTACTCTTTCTGTCTCTCTCTTCCCCAACACCACCCTGACTTAGATTTTGCCAGGTCTTTTTCCAGAGGCCAACTTGTTAAAAAAGATGAGAGGGTGCAACATGAGTGCACCTGGGTCTCGAAGATGGCTCAGCAATCTAGACATCTCTCCTCACAGGGTGGCTACATCTCCCCTGAAAACGGGTATCTGTTTTCCTTGGCCACTGAGCTCTCCCTCCATTGCTATAAATCCATCTCCTTGGGAGCTTCCTGATGATCTATAGAACTGGGCTGCATATCATGACTTCAAAAGAACACTGATAAGCAATGTTCACTTTGTTAATTTTTCTCCATGAATTAGTGGAAAGGCTTTCTACAAGATTGCAGTAAAATTCAGTGCCTGCCCTAAAATTTATGTCTTTTTTAAATGCATGAGTCTGAGAGCATTCCATTTCGATAAGTACCCATTTCTACCATATTTTTATTTAAAAGTCATTGCTCTGTTAAACTGAGATGGACGACCCCTTGGATTTTTCCCAGATGAGTCAAACCAAGGGAAGAGCAGAGGAGGAGGAAGAGATGAGCAGAGAGTGGAGTAGGCTATAGGGCAAAATCATTGCCACTTGGGAGAAGAGCTACTAAATAGCTGAGCTGTTCTTCACAGGTTGATGCTTTGGGTAATACTGACTGATCTTACTCTTTTGTCTTGGCTGCTAAACTCTGGGAACAAAAGGATAGCATATGCTCGCCCATAGAGGAGATGGAATTATAATAAAATATTGTGACTTAGGGTCCTCAAACGCAGATTCAGCTTGAGCTCATGACACTGCCCTTAACTGGCTTTAGAAGTCTCACCCACTCTCTTTCAGCAGCCCCTATGCTGGAAGGACAGATTTACAGAGGCTATATATGCTTCCACCAGAAGTGTGGAACAGCAAGCGAGCTCTCCTTTCCCTTGACATGGGTCTAAGCTGCGAGCTTGTCCTCACTGAAATGAACTGAACCCTTTTAAATCATTACTGTCTTCAGTGGAACACAACTCACCTAGCTTCTCAAGTCCCAGTGTCAGATTCTTCTGCCCCTTCAATGAAGCAGTCCCAGTGGATATAGTTGACTTCATAGCTTACCTCAGTACCACAGTCTCTTCACAGTGTGATACTGGCTTTTCCTACTGTATCTAGGTTTTCCAAATTAGGAAAGTAAGACAGAAAACTCTAGCGTTCTCCTCAACGTCACAAAAATGATGATTTCTGGAACAAAAAGTTAAAGCTTGCTCTGTATGGTTTCAAAGCTCCTTTTTTTTTTCAATGTTGCTCATTATCATGTGTGCTTGTCACACGTCCATTACAGGATGGAGAGATTTCAGGCTTGCTGGATGCCAGGTACAGGTTGTAAAATCTGCTTGCCTCTTTTTTGACCTGAGTGAACCACTCAACCTCTCTACGCCTCGATTCTGATGCCATCATATGGAAGACAAGGCTGCCTGTACAATAGAGTGTTTGGAAAACATGTATTTCATCTGACTATGACATGCACATCATAGATATTCAAAAATAGTGATGATACTTATAAAAAATGTCCCTGTTGCATAAATGGTTCACATGGGACAACTGTTGGGGTTTTAACAAATTTGATGGGCAGCTGCAGATGGGTACAGTGAATTGTAGTCATAAAATGCCAGTTTATTGTCTTGTGTTGGACTGGAAATACAGTCTTCACTGCCACCCTGCTTTGTACTTGCTAGTGGGAAGAGACCTTTAGGCTAAAGGGATTAATCATCAGCTTTAATGCTATGTCAGGAGGGTGAGACTGTAGTCTTGAGTACCTTTGATCTCCCTCAGGTACTGGGAGCACAGCAAGCAGGCAACAATAACACCTTTGTGAGGTCTAGGAGAGGCCTGGGACTGGGGAATCACTCCCAGGAAAGCTCAAGGACACCTTTGTTGTGGGTCTGGCAAATAAAACCACCAACTGTCAAGGGAAATTCACCAACAGAACTCAGGTACCAAAAGCACCCTGGGTTTATTAAGAAGTGGTTTAAATGTGACCTAAAGGGTTCACTTTCTCCATGTCTGATGTTACCAGTTGAATGTATAAATGAGGCAGAAGTCCCTGGAATATTTTGCGCTGCTCCAGGTTGCCTCTTTCTGACTCCCCATAAAATAAGAGATGAGTAGATGAATGGCCAAATAATTGAATATTGGTAAATTCTCTGAAGTCCTTCCTTTCCAGGACCCTATTACCTCTAGGAATTGGGAGAAAAGGCCTGCGGCAGAACACAAGACATACTAATGGGGCCTTTGATATTTTAGAAGATACAAGTGTGGGCTGCACATTTATCTTCCTTGTGCATGATTTAATTAACAAGGTGGAAACGCTGTTCTTTTTTAACTTTATGAAAGCAGAGCTGCTTGCTCAGAGTTAATCACTACCAAGTCTTCAAAATACAGGATCACACACAGCAGGGGTTAGCCAGAGGCCAAAAAGTCACAGGGTCAGAGAGAGCTGCAGCACCTCCTTTTCAGGAGCTGTCAAGTCAGGCAACAACTTGGCAGCAAGTTCTCCAGTGAGCTTGTCCGAAGGGCAGGAGTATTCTCTAGGCTGGCTTGCTGGGAGCTGGGAGGTATGGAGGTTTCTCCATCCCAATGAGCCTAGAGATAGGATCTCTCTGTCACTGAATGGACACCGAGTCTCAAAGGGATGGGCTTCTTTGCTGGTCTGCCTACTAAGTGTATTTAGGTAAAATACTCAATCTAGCAGTGCCTTGTTTCTTTGTCTCTTCTTCTATTATATATGGATAGTGGTATCTTCCCACAGCAATGAAGAGAATTAAGTCAGGTCACCTTTATGAACAACTTGGTAGCATCCCTGGCATAAAGGAGCAGCTATAATGCTACTATTTAAGATGATTCATTAGAGTTAGAGCGTAATCCCTGAGGTATTGGTTAGAATGGAAAGTATCAAAAGATATTCCTCTTTAGTTTAACATAGAAAATGCTTCGGGATATGTGTACATAAGATTAGTAAGCATATACATCCCCTGGCTCTGTCAGCTGAGAGGACAAGAAATTATACAGATAAAATGATTATGTGGGGCCAAGTATTTTAAAATAAAGAGGGCATGTTTCACTAATAGTTTTTGGAGGTTGAGGGTATAGCACTGGCTTTTATAAAGAGTCCCATGGTGGAGGTGCCACATTGTGGATGGCTTCATGACAAGAGTGCTGACCAGCAGGAGAGATCATATGGTGAGGAATAAAGCCAGAGACAGCCAGGTGTGATGGCGCACGCCTTTAATCCCAGTACTTGGGAGGCAGAGGCAGGCGGATCTCTGTGAGTTCGAGGCCAGCCTGGTCTACAAGAGCTAGTTCCAGGACAGCTTCCAAAGCCACAGAGAAACACTGTCTCAATAAAGAAAGAAAGAAAGAAAGAAAGAAAGAAAGAAAGAAAGAAAGAAAGAAAGAAAGAAAGAAAGAAAGCTAGAGACAGAGAGCATCCACTCTTGGACTCTCTTCTCTCCTCCATTGAGACAGACCTCCAGAACATTCTGTCTCAAACCCCTAACCTCTCCATGCCCTTCCCTGTGCCCTCAGAAGGAGAAGGAGGGCCTGCTCTCCTCCCAGTGGCTCTGGAACACACTGAGAAGCATGTGGATTGCCTATTGTCTGACCTCTGTGGTGTTGGGAAAGACAGATGGAGCCCAAGGCTCTGGCAACTCTGGGCCTGGTAGAGTAAAGCCTACCTCATACCACACCATGTTGTTAGAGTTGGGTTCTTTGTGTAGTGTCACTAATGGCTTGCTACAGCTGTCTCAAACCATCTGAGGAAAACTTTCCCCACACTACCAAAGCAAAGGGTGACTAGGAATGCTAAGGATATGCATCACTTGTCAAGGAAGAGGCAAATGACCATTAAACCACAGTGAGAGCTTGGAAAGTAGTACAAGTCAATAAAGTGTCTGCCTCCCCAGCACAAAAATCTTGAGTTCTGTCTCCAGAACCATTGTGAAAATGTCAGGCCTGGCAGAGTGTGCTTCTAATCCAAGCACAGGGAAAACAGAGATAGGAGGATCATTGGGGTTCACTGTCCAACCAGCCTAAACTTATTGGTGAATTCTAGACCAATGGGAAATCTTATCCCAAAGGAAATATATGATGTTTGTATATATATATATATATATATAGAGAGAGAGAGAGAGAGAGAGAGCTCATACACACATCATGCATTTTAAAAACCATAGTGATGAGATTCATGGCATGTTTACTGGAATGGTGAGAATGTGGGAAGCTAGAAGTCATACACCACTGCTAGGATTGCGACTAGCACAACTAATTTGGAAAACATTTTATCAGTTATATCTGTGGTATGATCCAGCCATTTCATTCCTATGAAAGCTGGGTTACACTATCTAGCACCATGATTCTGGAAGCCCACCAGGAACATAACAGGCAAAAGGCGAAGGTCAGAGAGAAAAGCCTCAGAAGATTGCTTGGCATCTAGCCTGAGCCTAGCTTTCATCAAAAGACCCCATTTTGCCCTAAGGAACTGTAAAGTGAAGGGAAAATAGGACAGCCATATTCAGTTCCCTCCGGATGAGCCCTGAGTATTTGGGGAGTGGGTAGATGTATTCCCCTCCCAAGAACACGGGCAAAACAACAGAGGGTAGAGAGTTCTAGAGGACACTCTTGGTGGAGTGATAATAACAACAAATATTTATTGCATTTTATAATAGCCTGTGAGGATATCCTCATCATAATTTCACAAAGCTCTCACACTTACCCTATCAGCACAGAAGAACTGATTTGAGGCTCAGTGAGAGAAGCTCACTAACTACCAAGGTCACACAGCCAGCTAGGTTTGAAACTCCAGCTGTGGGATTCCAGGGCTCCTACTCTGGGCTTCTGGCAGAGATAGGAGATGCAGGCTGGAAGAGAGG